AGCACTTTGCAATCCTCATTGCTTTCATTCTTCTGGGAAAAGTCTCTTCAGCCCCCCTCCCCCAATGATTTTCATTGTATGTAACGGCATCTGAGATTAAAAACAGCATGCCCAAGAGAGAATGGTGGACATCTTAGGATCTTTGTATTAGACTATAGGCCATTGCTGTGCAAGAATATGTAAGCTTTTTTGCATACCTAATTGTTCATCAATTAGGACAAATTAATCACTTTGGAGTGAATTCTGTGTTCCGTAGAATATTTTGCATTCTTCACAAATAGGAGTAAAAGGATTTCTCCTTCGCCTGTTTTATATATTTTAATTTTGAGAGGGCAACCAGCTATGAGTAAGATGTACAGAGAGTGCCAAATTCATGCTCAGTCCGTCCCCCCGACTTTAAGTAAGGGGGGGGATGAAATAGATTAAAAATCCACATGAGACACGCTGTTTCCCCTATTCTTTTCTTAAATTTATTTAATATCACTGTCTTCCATATATTGAACTTCAAAGAAGAAAATGTATGGACCAAATTAATCCTAGAAACCTGATGACTTTAACTCTGCTCACGCTATCCCCTGAATTTGTTTCTAACAGCGCTCTTAAATTTTTGAGCCATTTGGTACTGCTTATTTATCATTTGTACAGATCTGTTAAAAGTGTGAAGGGCTTTACCTTTATCTCATTCCAGTCATCTGCTGGAACTGTTTACATTTGTACCGATTGAGCCAGGATGATGCACATTGCAGTGAGAGGGCTCTGAGCTTGGAACTTGACGCCAGGAACAGACTATTTTGAGGCCAGGGACAGCCATTATGAGGTTGACTTTTGTTCATATTTATCCTGTGGTTCCCTTCCAAGGAGCTCTGGTCTAGGATCACCCATGAGTTTAACGGCTGTGGAACTAGTCCAACATTCTGTGCAGTCCAGCTCACCAATTATAACCTTATTATTCAGGGATGGCGGGGAATATGTGACTTCAGCCTTCCATGACACTTGATGTGTGGTGCGGACGTTTGTTTTATTATCGTTTAAAGAAGCCGGTTAAATATTGTTTACGCTTAATTAAAAGACAAATGTTTAAGAAGACATTTCTTGTGTGATCGTCACCAAGAATCAAACCTCAAAATCTCCATGCTCTTTGTGGCATTTAATATTCCTCTTCCTTTTGCTTCTGTTCTTTTTCTTCATCCTTCGTGTGGCTCAGAGCCAGTACCTGAAGTGGGAGGGGAAAAAAGGAAAGGGACTTTTATTTATTTTTATCCTCCCTTCACCACAAGGTCCCAGGGCGAGTCACAACAGAGTATAATGAAGCATTAAGAACAGTTTGAAACAAATTAAAATTATAACTAGAGGTGGGTCCTAAATATTTCTTAAGTGTGTCTTCAGCATATTACAAAAGCTGTATAATGAAGGTGCCTGATGCGTCTCTGTGGGGAGTGAATTCCACAATTTGGGGGCTGCCACAGATAGGGCTCTGTTGCAAATTAGACCAGACTCTGTTGCATCCGTTGAAAAGAAGTGGGATACTTTTAGGTTGTCCTTTTGAACAGACATAGACAGGGTGATGTCTTGCCTTATCCCACCTCATGTCAGACACCGCCCAGAACAACGAGTTCCCCATCTGTGGCTCCTTGTTCAGCATACGGTGCATGAAGCATAGCAAAACTGACCAAGAATAAAATATACAAGATTCACCTAATCTGCACAGGCAATCATGCATATGCAGTTCAGAAACAGATAATATTTTGTAGACTTACTTATTATTTAACAGTGGGTGAAACGTTCGCTATAAACGTGCCCTTCTGTTTATGCTGCCTCCTGTTTCGTGAGGGAGTTTTCCAATTTGAGCTGCAATAAGTGTAATTACATCTGGGCTTGTGGGGGGGGGGTTGATTCTCAGCAAGAATTATAACAGTAGATTTTTCCTCTGGAAAATACCTCCTCAGTAATGCCTTTAATTTTCCTGACAGTTGCATGCAATATTTTGTCCCCACAAAAAGAAGAAAGCACAAACTTTCAAGATAGTATTTTGTGTCATATATATTTATGTGCCGTTTCTACTGGTTGTAAGAGATCTTGACATACAGGCAGGGAAATCACTTTACTGTATCTGTAAATTTTTAAATACATTGTACGCTTTGCTTGAGAGCATACTCCATTTGTATCTGATATCATTTAAGTATTTTTTGCATATGTAAAAAAAGGCATGCAAATCTTGCAAATGCATTTTTCCACAGAAGTGCTTCTCCCCTTTTCTGACTCTGTTATTTTCTTTACTTTTAAGCAATTTATTTCTCCAATATCCTTTATTTAGAAGAGGATAGCTTTCCTTGTGCTGTTCAGCAAGGTTAGCTCCAGGAGCAAAATAATCAGTGTTCACTGATCTAATAAATGATTTAAAATATTCATGCTTGAAAATCAATAAGATACCGGTTATCTTTGGAGACCTGTTAAGTTGCTTTTTATGTCATTAATGAATAAATAAAAATTACTTCCAGACGACGGTCTTGAGAAAATCCAGGCATCGTGTCATTGTGTAGATTTCCGATCCTATTCTTATGCTACTGTGAAGTAAAATGTGTTTAACTTGGACAGTATTTTAATGTGGTTTATTTAAGAGACAAAATACACATTTGAAAATGTTTGCAGTCGTGTCCAAGTATAATTGACAAGAGTCTTGAGATAAATTACTAGGGAGGCAATTCCTCTTGTGCGTCCTAAGGAATATGATTTAAAACTCTTCTCTGCAAAACTTTTGGCATTATTGCCTGACCTCAGTCAAGTCTATATATACACACTGAATTTCAGCTAGAATAAGTAACCAGCAGTTTTAGCAGTCTGGAGCATTTTCAAATGAGACTCCAAAAACTCATTTTTGTCTGGGAAAGTGTTGCTTGTAAATGCCATTAATGATGAATGGAATGCTGAAAAATGACTTTTTGAAACAGAATAAATATGTTTCAATTTGGGCTTTTCTTTTGTATTGGAGTCTTGAAAATGTTAGAGAAGTGATTTAAAAGCAAATTCGCTTCTAAGAAAACTAACCATCCACCTACTACTAAAGTTAATTCTCCCCTTCCCTCCCTCTCCATTTTTCAAACCTGTGAATCAGAGGAGGAGACTTGCATTCTCAAGTTGCGTTGTTAGCGATCTGTGTTATAATTCAGAGCATTTTGAAGGTGTGTTAATTGGTCTGGTTCCTGCCTGCCTGCCTGCCTTTCCGGCCAGGTACACCCATGTAATACGTCCATCCTAAAGCTAGTAGAGTTACCCACACATTTGATGTTGGGGTGGAGCTCTTGATCATTATTTACTTACTTCTCAAAGCTTCCTTCTCCATAAGTGATTTCTTGGCAACTTCCGCAGCTGTATGGAACTCGGACTTTGAATATATGAATAAAATTGAGCCCAATTGCCTCTGACCTGTAGATCTTTAAAGGGACTGGTTCTTTGCTATGAACAGAAATCTCATTGTCTCTCTCAATGTATTCAGTTGGAGGTTTTCGGTAGTAGGTGGGAAACGAGTTCGTTTTCTGCCAGCCGGTCCTCCCCTCAAGATTTCTCTGTTGGCCTGGTTCAAATACCATACAGCCTTGATCGCTATTTCAGTTCACCTTCATATCTCATTCTGATTCAAACTTTGGGGACATTTGAAGTGTGCCTAAGCAAAGGAAAGGTGATACTTCTGCCTTTGGGGGACTGGCAACTTCAGGTTTTAAAGCTGGCCTTGTATGTGATGTTGTGATGCTGGTACTTTTTAGAGAAGACAGCTGTGGGTGCGGATGCGGGAGAACCCTGGTGCTCTCTGTTAAGTCAGGATAGGAACAAAAATGATAGGTTTTATTCCAATGTTGCGAGCTGGTTTTGTGCTTTAGGAACGCAGAAAAATGCATGTATAGGAGTGTGTGAGAGAGGGAGGGGTAAGTAGCCCCACACTGAACTGGTGTGTGTGTTATTTTTGCATTTGAATGACAACTGACTCAAAGAAGAAAATTTCCAGGGCCACTTTTCATAATACACAGAACCATGTACAAATATTAATTAAGTGCAAAATAAAAAGGAGATAATTATGTGTCTGCTGTTTCACAGAAATGTGTAATAAATCAGTGTGCCCATCAAATGCACCTGGACTCTGAAGAGAAGTAGCTGACATTATATATTTTGCTTTATTTAGTAAAGCTGCTTTCGAGATTCGGTGGCGGGAGGGGGGGGAGAAAAAAAGACTGTTGACAACACTCCAGTCGGCTGTAATTTCCGATTTATAATTTTAGAAAAAATATGTTGCAATTAGGAACAGAGTGGTTCTAGTTCTGGTGGGCGGGCCGTGTTATGTCTCGTTACTTGTGTTATCTTAGCTTTTTATAAAATGTGCCATAAATAAAGTTTATAGTGGAAAGAAAGAAAAATAGTTTTAGCAATTAGTGATTTCCAGTTTTGCAAAGTTCTTTACAACTCTATATCTCATTCAGTTGCGTATGCAGATGCTTTTATGTCAGATACACACATTTTTATATGTGTTCAGAATGCTTTTTGTGAAATAATAATTGGTGTGAGGAGTACAAAGCCCAGTGTAAAAGATAGGATGCAGTCTTTCACAAGCTCTGTTGAAAACAGTGGAGCGTGTTCGTATGTAAACAGCCTAAGATGGAGAAGGGAGATACAATTTTCAGATGGGAGGGGGAACAAAAATAAGAATCCAACAGCACTTTTTCATTTACCTGTGACATATTGAAATCTAAGGAAAAGATGGCATGGGTGAAAGGTGATGTGGAATATTACAGCTCCTAAATTTTTGAAATAAATCTCTTATATTTCAGTTCAAGAACGTATGTTTAGGATCACAGCCCAAGATCACACAAAACTGTACTTTCATATAATGCATGATGCAGATTTTACAAGCGTTGAGCCTGTATCATTATATTTTGTGTACCCATTATTAAGATTTTTTAAAAATGTATTTTGTGTTGCAAGGTTTTAATGATTTGCTTTCTGTTCTGCAGCATTACCAACGAAGCGGGAGCCTCAATATACAGTGTTAGTCCAGAAGCTACCAAGGAGATGCCTGATTTAGATCCTAACCTACGAAGTGCAGGTAATTATTGGCTACTTCAGTATTTTCATGACACTCATAATGCATGTATATATATATATATGTACAACCACTTAAATAAGAGAAAATAATATTACTGTTGCCACCCTTAACTCTTTATGAATTTCCTTTCATTATTTCTTTTCATCATCCTTGAAACAAATTATAAATTCAGAACTCTACTTACTGTAAATATGTAAATACTGTGATGACCTACTTGTTGCCTGGATTGAGCCATATAATTGGGATTCATGTCTCCCTCATATTTACATGATAGGAAACCAGCAGGTTTTTTCCTTTATTTAATGCCATATGTAGTATACTTACTGCCACGGGCATGTGACATATCGACTAATATATCTAATATGCTTGAAAAGGCTGTATCTTGATAATTTGGTATCTGCTTCTTAGGCAGAAATAGCTCCAATAGGGAAATTAAACGAGGAATAACTGAATGTGATAGCTTTTACATAAGTTATCTCTCTCTGGCTGTATTCGGGCATAAGATTAAACCTTGGTTTAACACTACAGAAATGTACTCATCTTCCTCATGCTCACTTATTCACCCTGCGTGTCTATCTTCTTGTCTTACGTGGCCAAGAGGAAGAATTTAGAAACTTCAAATAACCACAGTATCTTGTTCCATCTGAACTGGAGATTGTGGTTAAATGCTAACTATGGTTAATTTCAAAAGAAGCCAACTTCAAACCATGGGTTATGAAGCCAGCTTGTTGAAATTAACTATAGTTAGTGTTTAACCACAAGCCCAGTTAGGACTAAATGACAAACAGAGTTCATTAAAAGCAAAATATTCCAAATGCTTCCTCTTGTCTCTTGTGAATAGGTGGGAGGGGCTCACTCATGTAGTGCTAAACCGTGGTTTAGTGTTACGTCCAAACACATTCTCCCTGGATAAAGAAACCTGTTTCTCATTGCAGGGGGTATAAAAATTGCAAAGGTACTTCCAGAAGTTATAGGATATTGGTAAACACATTTTTTTATAAAAAGGGGACATTTTACCCTTCCATCGTAATAGTGGCCAGCATAAAACAAGCCCAGACACAGATGGGCTGTGGGAGTTGCAAGCCATCTCAGCTTGGCATACTGAGGAGTGCTTTATACTGGCTGTATGTGGGAATGTCTCATTAACAATAATTTAACAGTCTTTGTAAAGTGAAAGTGGTGGTTTCCAGTGGTGACCTGAAACATATCTGTACTTGCATAACACGAACTATGTTTACTGCTAGTGATGTTTGAAGAACTTAATTTCTATGAATATTGATGCAAATTGACCAAATCTGCACTTCCCAGATAGTGTGCAGAACAGGATAATGCTATCCTTTGAATTTTTCATTTCCCCAAATTTTTTTGATACACTTTTGGGCTAAAAAAGTAAAGTACCAAAATGCATTGAAATGCATATTTTAGAATAAAATACATCCAGAAGTGTGAGCATTGAGCTGCAATATGTTCTTTAACATGAATTTGTGATAAATGCATATTATTATTATTGAGTATTCGATTTACATACCAGATCTCAGATTTAAATATGATTTAAATGAGAGATTTAAATATGAACTTTCCTCTTTGTGTGGTTTTCTTAAAATAATAATAATAATTAAAAAAACAGGTTAATGCAGAAGCTAAACTTTGCAGACTTAGGTAAGAACACTTGGAAAATTGATTCAGACTAGAAATTAACTGATCTGTCCATTCTTGAGTACTTCAGCTGAAAAACGTAATAATAATTTTGGGAACTTTTGGCTTTTCACGTGTTTAATTTTGTGTCCATTATAATGCCTTTAGATTGTTTCTAAACCAAACAAATACTTAGAACACAAAAAGTTTATATATTTTTAACGTTAATACCGTCAAATAGGTTCATCTGTAGTTCCTGCTTATCTTTTATTTCTGATTTCTCTCCTCATCAGACTTTGTGCTTCTCATTCATCGCTTGCCAGAATCTATCATGTTTCTTCCTCTGTCTCACATCTCTGTGCTTTTTCCTTTAATTTCTCCTTATCTATAGAAACATTTACCAGCCAATATTTATTCAATACATTCTTCTCTTTTTTTAGAAACCCTAACCCTTAACTTTCCTTTAATTGAACTGCAATGTCCACTCTATTTTATTGAAAGATTTTGCTTCCATCTCCTCCAGTTGTGAGTTTCAGTTCCATGTTATTTTGACTAACTTGCTCTTTTCTGAAGTAGGCAGGACCTTTGCCGTTTGTTTAGCACCTGGAATCTTCAAAAATCAATACTGTATTTCCTCAAAAATTGAAATGTGCAGAGTGTTTTGTCAAGTGGGTGGGGGGCAAAATATGAATAAATAGCAACTGCACGTGTGCAAATCTTGGCAGGTTGCAATTCAAGGATGAGTTCACATGACCAGCTACGGTCTGGTTTGGAGAGCCACGTAGAATGTAGTCCTGCAACCATATAGATAGAAGGAATGACTATCGCTCTTGCTGTGATAGTTCCTGAGGTGATGGTTGAGAACCTCCAGCTCTGTTCATCCATCCCCTCCCTTAGTAGTAGTAGTAGCAATAATAATAATAATAATAATAATAATAATAATAATAATAATAAAATAAAAAAAATAGTAAGGTAAAAGTAAAGGGACCCCTGACCATTAGGTCCAGTCGTGGATGACTCTGGCGCTGCGGCGCTCATCTCGCTTTTCTTGCCAAGGGAGTACAGCTTCCAGGTCATGTGGCCAGCATGATTAAGCCGCTTCTGGTGAAGCAGAGCAGCTCACGGAAACGCTGTTTACCTTCCCGCTGGAGCGGTACCTATTTATCTACCTGCACTTCATGCTTTCAAACTGCTAGGTTGGCAGGAGCAGGGACCGAGCAACGGGAGCTCACCCAGTCGCGGGGATTCAAACCGCCGACCTTCTGATCGGCAAACCCTAGGCTCAGTAGTTTAGACCACAGTGCCACCCGCATCCCTATAATAATAATAGTAAGTTAGTAAGTAATAATAAGTTATTATTTATACCCCACCCATCTGGCTGGGTTTCCCCAGGCACTCTGGGCGGCTCCCATCAGAACATTAAAAACACAATAAAAGATCAAACATTAAAAACTTCCCTTAACCGGACTGCCTTCAGATTTCTCCTAAAAGTCAGATAGTTGTTTATTTCCTTGACATCTGATGGGAGGGAGTTCCACAGGGAACTCACTACTGAGAAGGCCGTTTTGCTTATACTTCCTACTGCTGCCATCAGCTCTCCTGACCTGTGGGAACGGGGCAGTCTTCAGAAAGACCATTCTCTATGCTTCCTTCTCCAGTTTTCGGGGAGGAAGGAGAAACTTATTCCTTACCTCCTTCACTTTGCTAGGATCCATGGGTTGCAACCAGCTAAGCCCGGCATGGGGAGCCTTCAGCTTGTTAACCTAATCACCGTGTTTTTCGCTCTATAGGATGCACCCGACCATAAGACACACCTAGTTTTAGAAGGGGAGAACAAGAAAAAAACACCTCTCCCTCTCTGCGTAGCACTGTTTCAGCAAAGCGGCAGGAGAAACGGAGCCCCTTCCATTTCTCCTCCCGCTTCGCTGAAGGGGCGTTGCGCAGAGAGGGAAAGCTGCGCAGCGCCTCTCCAGCGAAGCGAAGCCAGGAGAGCTTCAGAGGCTTCGTGTTGCTTTCGCTGAAGCCATGGAGCTTCTGGGCGGCTCCATAAGACGCACACGCATTTCCCCTTAATTTTTGGAGGGGGAAAAGTGCATCTTATAGAGCGAAAAATACGGTAGACCTTGTACAGGTCCTGCTTTGGCCTGCGAGGCCATTTCCCCAGAGCACACCTACCTGGTGCTATATGTGCCTAACTACAGTGCACGGTCGGGAGCCTTAACGTGTACTCTCATTTGCTCATTGAAAAAGGAGTCTTTCTCTCACCTCTGGTCAGCTGGCTGTCGGTGAGAGCAAGCCCGCTGGTATCAGCTGCCTTACAGAGTTTCTACAGGGAACCCCATAGGGCAACTGACGCCTTCAGAAAGTGGAGCTTGGACTCGGCACCTATCCAATGATAGGTGGTCAATTCAAGTCCTCTGGGATTGGCTTTGCTACTTCGTTCCCCAGTCCAAAGCCTACACAGTCAGACTCAAAGCAGACTCTCTGAAATTGATTGACCTACATTAGTCATATCCATTGGTCTACTCTGAGCAGGACTTCGTTGGATTCAGCCTCGTGACTCCAGGTTGAAGCAGCACGCTCTCACCATGTCAGACATTACACTTTGCTCTCTCTCCCAGGGGCTGCAGATATTCAAGGCAAAAGGTAGATGGACAGAGTTGAACAAGCATCTCAAAAATGGCACCAGCCAATCCGGCCCCTTGTAGCCTCAGGTGGTAGAAGTAGAACTGGTGGCAGCACTTGGGGGGCTCCATAAGGGCCGAACATTCACACACACACACACACACACACACACGACCTGTAATTTCTTGCTCTCTGCAAGAATGCAATTTCTAGTTACAAATTTCATCATTACGTTTGCAGACAAATGTTGATTTGAAAAAGCCCTGAACCTAATACTATATGCAAGTAATAATAGAATCTGTTCAAGTTGCTTGGAAGCCTATAATGAATAAAATGTTCATACATAGTTAGGGGGGCCTTAAATGCCTGCCTCTCAGGAGAAGTGACAGCACTTGGCTGGTCATCATGTAGGTTTAGTGAGATGTCTAGTCTGGTGAGATTAGTTTCTGTGGTGATTTTGTTTTTTTCTTGTTTACTGCATCTCCATTTTGGTTTGGTAGGCCACGAGGTCACACTTAAATCAAGGAAATCTGACTTTTTCTCTTTTCGTTTTAATCGTGTTAATCGACGTCAAGTTCTGTGCCGGCGTAATTTAGATCAGTACATTGAAACAACGACAGCAGCTGACAGCTGCATGATGAAGTGTGACATTTGGAATTAAAATAAAAGGTTTTGCAGGCGTTGCGCAAGATAGCTGTGATCCTAACCCGGTTTGCCACTTTAGCATTCCACTCAGTACA